AACAGCCAAATCTGATGCACTGTGGCATGGCTCTACTCTACATGAGAGGAGGAATAAGTGTGGGAAGGCTATATTAATAGGGTTTTCAATTAGAAGAGGAATAGGCACATTTGTGGACGCAAACAAGACTGCAGGATGCTTCTGAGGTGCTAGGGTCAAGAATGTTTCCGAGTGGCAGCAAGACATTCTGGAGTGAGAGGATGAATAGTCAGTGGTTTTGATACACATCCATACAAACAACATGTGTAGAAAATGGAGTGAGCATAACATAGGAAGTAAATTCAAAAGTAGGGCTTCAATATTGTGATTTCAGGAGTGTTATCAGTGCCATGTGCCATGTGCCAGTAAGAATGAAAAAGCAGGTGTGTGTGTGTGTGTGTGTGTGTGTGTGTGTGTGGATTCCTCAGACATTGGGACTGGTTCTAGGAGAGGTGGAAGCAGTAAAAACTAGACGGATTGCACATGGGCAAGAATGAAACTGATATCCTCGGGAGTACTTGCAAGTGTAGTTGGTGAGGATTACCGTTCCTCAGAAACTGAACTGAACTAGCCATATAAATATACTGGCTACGAGAGTAGGTCACATGCCTAGCAATCCTCTAGCAGGTCACTCACTTTGTGACTCCTGAAAGAAAGCCTGTCCACCATCTGCAGGACACAGAAATGTGGTAGAACATGCCTCAAAAAAAATAACCTGCCTGGATGAGTGCAGTTTCAATAGTCAAAAAGCTTGACACCATCCTGGATAAAGCAGTCCACCTAACAAATAGGACATCCACATCCATCCACTCACTCTGCCACTGATACTGAGTTGCAGCTAAGTGTACTAATTACAAGACGCTCTTGTGCAAGAAATTCTCCAAGACTCCTTTGGTTGTACCTTCCAAACCCATGACCACTTCCATCTAGGAAAAGCAAGGCCAGCAGATCTATGGGGACATCATGTACACGTTTCCCTCCAAGCCACTTACCACCCTGTCTTAGAAATATTGCTGTTCCCTTTCTGTTGCTAGGTTAAAATCCTGCCACTCCCTCCCAAAAGTAATTGTGGGTTTACTTATAGCAAATAGACTGCAATGCGTCAAGAAAGCGGCTCACCACCACCTTTTCAAGGGCAACTGGAGATGGCAATAAATGCAGGTCCAGCCAGTGATGCCCATATCCCATGAATGAATTAAAAACAAATCTTTGTGGTCTTTGATTTGCATGGTGTCTTCTATCTGGAAGTTCACTATATATTCTATATATCATCTGTGCTTTTTTTTGTTTAAAAATTGTTATTCAAAATTCTTATTCTCCTTGTTTGTGTTCTAGTTACACTTATCCATCCAAAAGTGTAGCATTCACAAATGGATGCAAAACTTCATTTGAGGTCAAACCAACAATTTGAGATTTATCGTGCCTGTTTTGCTTTTGTGCTTCATGTCCTTGTACATGCGGGATCCTGAACTTTTTAAAATGACCTACTTTTCTGACTACCTTGCCGCCTGTAATGATTTATGCATATCTATAAGACTGTAATACACGGGAGCAGAAATTAGGACCTTCAGCCCATCGCGTGTGCTCCACCATTCAATCATGCCTGATAAGTTTCTCAACCCCATTCTCCCACTTTCTCCTCATAAACCTCGATCCCCTTGACAATCAAGAACCTATCTACCTCAGTCTTAAATATATTTAAATGATCTGGCCACCTTAGCCTTCTGTGGCATTGAATTGCATAAATTCATCACTCTCTCTGGCTGAAGAAGTTTGTCTTGATGTTTGTTTTAAAGAGTCTTCCCTTACTCTAAGGCTCCGCCTTCGGGCCCTAGTCTCTTCTACCAATGGAAACAATGTCCCAACATCTGCTCTGACCAGGCCATTCAGTATTGTGTAAGTTTCAATTGGATCTCCCCTCATCCATCTAAAGGTCGTGTACAGACCCAGAGTCCTCAAACGTTCCTCATATGTTAAGTTTTTCATTCCTAGGATCATTCTCTGGAACTTCTTGTAGACCTGCTGTAGGGCTAGGACATCGTTTGTGAGGTATGGAGCCCAGAATTGCTCACAATACTCTAAATGTAGTCTGACCAGAGCTTTGTAAAGCCTCAGAAGTTCATCCCTGCATTTATATTCTAGAACTTTTGAAATAAATGCCACCATTTGTGTTTGCCTTTCTAACTACTGACTCAACATGCAAGTTTACCTTAAGAGAATTCTGGACTAGGGCTCCCAAGTCCCTTTTGCACTTCAGATTTCTGAACTTTATTCTCATTTAGAAAATAGTCCATACCTCTATTCTTTCTACCAAAGTACATGACCTAACATATTTTCCCACATTGTATTCCACCTGCCACTTCCTTGCCCACTCTCCTAACTAGTCTAAATCTTCACCCTCCCCACCACCTCCATACTACTGTCCCTCCACCTATCTCTGTATCATCTGCAAACTTAGCCAGAATGCCCACAGTTCCTTCATCTAGATCATTAATGTATAAAGTGAAAAGTTGTTGTGGTCCCAACACTGACTCTTGTGGAACACCACGAGTCACCAGCTGCCAGCCTGAGAAGGACCCTTTTATCCCCACTGTCTGCTTTCTGCCAGACAGCCAATCTTCTACCCATGCTAGTATCTTGTCTCTAACGCCATGGGCCATTATCCTGCACAGCAACATCTTGTGCAGCACCTTGTCAAGGGCCTTCTTGAAGTCCAGGATGTCCAAGTCTACTTCCATTTGGCTCTTGGTCTAATCTCCAAGTTACCACCAAACAGAATTCTAACAGATTTGCCCAGCATAACCTCCCCTTGATGAAACCATGCTGAATTTACCCTATTTTACCATGCTCTTCCAAGTATTCAGAAATCTCATCCTTCACAATGGACTCCATAATCTTACCAACGACTGAGTCAGGCTAATCGGCCTGTATTTTCCTGTCTTTTGCCTTACTCCCTTTTTAAACAGGGGCATTACATTACCAATTTTCCAATCCTCTGGGACTCTTCCTGACTTCAGTGATTCCTGAAAGATCACTAACAGCCCCACTATCTCTTCAGCTATCTCCTTTTCACGCTAAGAAGACAGATCTGACGTGTGGCAGTGACTGAGAGTTCAGGTGATATCATTTCACTGAACTTCTGTTCAAAGCAAGCGTAGAATGCATTGAGCTCATTGGGGAGGGGTGCATTGTTGTCAGCTATTCTACTTGACTTTACTTTGAAGCCCCGTTATATCACGAAAGCCTTGCCACAGTCGACGTATGTTCGTGTGGTTTAGTCTGGTATTGTATCTTAGCATCCCTGATGGATTTGTGAAGATCATACCTAGATTTCCTGTGTAGGCCAGGGTCACCTGACTTGAATGCCTTAGACCCAGACCTCAGTAGGCAGTGGATCTTCGGTTCATCCATCGTTTCCAGTTGGGGAACGCTCATTAATTTGGCGCACAATCCTCTACTCACTCGCTCTGAGGTCTTTGACAGTAATGTCATACTCATTTAGGTTGGCACTGAGTTCATGAGTATGGACCAGTCCACCCACTCCAAGCAATCAAATAGGAGCTTGTCCATTACCTAAGACCAGTGTTGTACGACTTTTTGTATTGTACCCTAGTCTTGTGATCTGATTTACCAAAATGCAGGCGGGGATGGTGCGTTAGGCGTCTTTGGTTGTGTAGCAATCATCCAGGGTGTTTGGACCCCTTGTGGGACAGGAGACATGTTGGTGGTACCTTGGAAGCACACTTGAAGTTGGCCTGGTTAAAGTCACTGGCTATGATGAACAAGGCCTTGGGGTATTCCATCTCAAGGTTATTTGGGCAGTGTATATTTCAAGTGCACTCTTCACTTCTGCACGGGCTGGGATGTAAACTGCTGTCTAGATGGCAGGTAGTAGGGATAGTACGTCACCATTCATTGTTATAGGTCCGGGAGCAATAACTTAGTAGGGGCGTCACACTGAGTGCTAAGAGGCGTTGATGAGGAGGCAGACCCCTCCGTCCTTTGCCTTGCCTGAGGATGTTATGCGGTCCTTCTGCTGAATTGAGAAGCCCTCAAGTTTTAAAGCACAGTCAGGTGAAGCAGGAGTGAGCCATGTTTGTTAAACATAGCACACAGCAGTCTAGCTTTAAGTTCCTTTTCTGGCCCAGTGGTACGTGACAACAGGCAATTCTTTCCACCTTCTTAAATTACAGCTAAAAAACAATATTTTACACATCTGCCCTAATATCATCTCAAATGAAACAAGTTGTTGACGCTACTTTGAAGAACCTTGGGTTATTTTTCCTTTATTAAAGGCAACATATTTCTTAACCCAACAATAGAAATTGTTTTGTCACCACAGGATATCATCAAATACTTTACAGTAATTCAAGAGATATGGTAGCTGGCTTGTGCACAGCAAGGTCAAACAGTACTAACACTTGTGATGTGGTCGATTTAATGTGTTTCTCACTGATGTTGGTTGAACGATAAATATTGACCAGACCACTGGTGAGGACTCCTCTAATCTTTTAAAAAATGCTTGTTATTAAATCTCACATGGGTCTTTTAGCAGTGTGAAGTTCCTGGAGTGGGATGATAGCCACAGCCTTGTGACTTGGAATTGAGCATCCAACCAGTGCACCAAGGCTGAGTACTCAGCCTAGTAAAACAGGGCTTGATTTGAAATTGTCCTATTGATGAATCTTCGTAATTATTTAAAACACCAATTTGTGAAAATGCAGGCTGTTATACATGATCAAGTAATTGTGCAAAGTCCACCCTCTCCATTTAAAATCAACAAAGCCTGGAAAATAGCATCTATTGATTGTGCTTGCATGCTTTGTTTCTTGAACTGTGTACATTTAAAGTCCATATACCATCTATTAGTTTATCTTAACTGTTTTAAATACTCCCCCAATATAATCTTTATTTTGAAAAACCAAATATCTGTCATTAGTTCATGGTTTGTAGCATTTTTCCTAAAATGCAGATTTTATAATGGAGAAACGTTTATCAGGTTACTTTTTTTTTCTTTTCAGGCAGAGGAGTAAGGTTATATTACATTGGTGGGGAAGTTTTTGCGGAGTGTCTGAGTGATAGTGCCATCTTTGTTCAAAGTCCAAACTGTAATCAAAGATACAGCTGGCATCCTGCAACAGTATGCAAAATTCCACCTGGTAAGAAAGATTTAATAGGTGCCTAAAAACATGAACTCTTGCTTTCCAACCAAAAGAAACTGGTCCGTATAACAAACTTTGAACTCGTATTCAAAAATGAATTGCTTGTTAATGGTTATATACTTCAAGTTCTGCTTAGAGTATTTTAATGATCACAATTCAAAATCTGTCCATGAACCAGCAGTGCTGAGAGATGTTTGTTCTGTCAGTGGGTTAGCCAAGCTACACAAGCTCTGTATATTTTTTAAAAGAAAACACCTTGATGTGGTCTATAGCTTTTTGCCTTCTAGATGGCGATGTTCTGCCACTTGGAGTTGACTTGCTAATCAATCAGCGAGCGATTTATTATTTTTTCTGTAGTACAACTAGTTGTGATCATTGGAAATTTGTCATTCCTGCATTTGTCCTGATGACTGCAAGATAAAGAGCTTTGATTAGATGTCTCTTCCTATTTTTTATCAACAGTATTAATGGAAGATTAAATTTACGATTTCTTGTACTGTACTTCCGCCTCAATGTATCACCTTAAGTGGAAGAGGTAGAAAATCTTCAAGAAAGTAGGAAATGTCACTTAACAAAACATTTTCTGGATGTTCTAAAACTAAATTATTTTCCTAAAATAAAATACAACTGCGGATGCTGGAAATCTGAAACCAAAATAGAAATTAAGGTGCTGACCTATTTGGCTCGGTATGAGTGAGAAACATTTACCGGCACTACCCTAGCAAGATTATATTTCTGTGGACTTAATTTCCTTGGATTTGATGCACAATTGGGAATGCAAATGCATGCTGCATTATCTCCACGAAATTATTACCAGAGGCTGTTGAAATTACAAACAGTATTCATTTTTCCATAATGGGTGAAATATGATATGGGAGAATTTCACACAAAATCTTGAAATTTCATGTTGGTAATTTGACCTCAATTTTTCTGAAGTGTGAAGGCTAGTTGAATTGAAGCATGTAATGTTGATTCATTGTTTTGAAAAAATGTGTTCATGCGATGTGGATGTAGCTAGCTAGGCCAGCATCTATTGCCCAAAAGGCAGCTTAGAACATAAGAACTAGGAGCGAGAGTATGCAATTCAGCCTTTGAGTCTGCCATGCCATTCAATACGTTCATGACTGATCTCATCGTGGCCTCACACCACTTTCCTACCCTCTCTCTGTAACTTTTCAACCCATTATTAATTTAAAAACCACCTCCTACTTAAATTTACCCAATGTCCTGACTTCACCACACTTTTGGGGTAATGAATTCACAGGTTCGTGACCATTTAAGAGAAGTACTTCATTCTGATCTGTTTTCAACTTGTTACCCCTTATCCTGAAACTGACCTGTTCAAGATTGCCCCATAAGAGGAAATGTCCTGTGTCTACTTTGTCAAGTCCCCCTTAGCATCTTACACCTCAAATAGCTTTCTTATTCTAAATTCTAGAGAATATAAGCATAAACTAGCCAATCTCTCTTCATAAGCCAAACCCCTCATCTCTGGAATCAATCTAATGAACCTGTTCTAAACTGCTTCTAATGCAATTACATCCTTCCAAGTAAGAGGGCCAAAACGTACGCTACTTCAGGTGTGGTGTCACTAATGTCGCAACAGCACTTTGTGACTTTTTACTGCTCTGTTCCTTAGGCAATAAATACCAAAATGCAAGTTATCTTCCATATTACCTGTTGTACCTATATGCTAGTTTTCTGCAGTTCACGCATGCAGATATCCAGATCCCTCTGCATCAATGTAGTCTTAAGTTATCTCCATTTAGATAGTGAGTTGCCTTTCTTGTCTTTCAATCAAAATGGATAACCTCATACTAATCCATGTTAAACTCCATATGCTAAATTTTAGCCCATTCATCTAACCTATCCATATCATTTGTAAATTTATTTCTTTATTGGAGCTTACTTTCCCACATTAGTGTCATCTGCAAATGTCTCTATCATACCTCTGACCCTCCTCTCAAGTCATTAATATAAATTGCAAATAGGCCCAAGGACCAAATCCTGTGGCACCCCACTTGTTACATCTTACTGTGGGCCTGGAGTCACATGTAGGTCAATCCTGGAATGGATAGCAGGCTCCCTTCCTCCAAAGGACATTAGTAGACCCATCTGGTTTTATGACATTAGGCTAGCTTTCTATCCCAGACTTTTATCAAATTCAAATTTCGGCTCTGGTGGGATATAGTTTTCATCCTATTTTTAGAAACAAATGATCGAGAATTACATTGAATAGTGCTACACAAGTATTTTTGACACCTGAAAATATCCATGCACTATGTTAGATCTGGCGCGCACAAATCAATATTGAGCAATACTTGGAGATGTTCTGCAAATGCTACTTGCTCTTGTATAAATTGTCTCTAAATTTATTCTGAATGTCAAGTAAGATGTAATTTGCTATTTTATAATTCTGTTTGTCAGGTTGTAACCTGAAAATATTCAACAACCAGGAGTTTGCAGCACTTCTAGCTCAGTCTGTAAACCAAGGCTTTGAAGCTGTTTACCAATTAACCAGAATGTGCACAATTAGGATGAGTTTTGTGAAAGGCTGGGGTGCTGAATACAGGTGAGAAATTAATGGTATTTCTGCAGTTTTTGTTTCTTGCTTTCTCAATGTTAAGGGGGATTTTCACTGCTGAGCAGTAATTCTGAGCTATTGCATCTAACTTGGCCAAAATAAATAACTATTCTACTTAAGGTAACATGGATCAGGAGTCTTGAATATTTTTTTTCAAAAATCACTTGTACAATAGATGTGATTTCACAGCCCTTTATCCAGCTGGTATTATGAATCCTGTAAAACTTTGCATCGTTAGACTGCACTGGGAGATATTCCTGTATCTGCAGTACAATGCAAGGTTGTGAGCACATGATTACTTTTGATCACGAGAATTATCAGGCATTGTTATGCATCTACTTTGTCAAGTCCTCCTTGGCATCTTACACCTCAAATAGCTTTCTCATTCTAAGTTCTAGAGAATGTAAGCATAAACTAGCCAATCTCTCTTCATAAGCCAAACCCCTCATCAATCTAATGAACCTGTTCTAAACTGCTTCTAATGCAACTACATCTCTCCTCTGGATGAAGAGATCAAAGAATGTATGCCATGCTCCAAGTCTGGCCCCTGACTATAATTGTGACAAAACTGCATTTGTTTTTTTCATGCACTCCGATCTCCTTGCAATAAAGAGTAGGATCATTTGCCAGTCTTATTGTTAACTATGTTAAATCTGTGTTTTGCAGACCAGAATCCTCTGCATACCAAATGTTTGCTAGAGTCTCTTGTCTTTACTAAACATGCTGCTTGTCCGTTCTTCTCTCCAAATTGGATAATTTCACATTTTCCCACATTAACAATCTAACAAAGATAACAAGGTCTAGAGCTGGATGAACACAGCAGGCCAAGCAGCATCAGAGGAGCAGGAAGGCTGACGTTTCGGGCCTAGACCCTTCAGAAAAAAAAAAGTGTAGTTTCCTTGATGGGCTATATGGCGTACTTCCATGTCTTATGTTCTCAACATTCCTGCTTTTGTATTCATTGCCTCACCTAATAAAAGCAAACATCTCATATGCCGCCTTAACCACCGTATCCACCTGACATGTGGTGTTTAAGGATCTGTGGCCGTGCACACCAGCATCTCTCTGTTCCTCAGTGTGCATCGTAGGTCCTACCAGCTGCTGAATACTCCCTTGCCTTGTTAGTCCTCCCAAACTGCATCACCTCATATTTTTTTTCCTGATTAAATCCCATTTGCCACTGTGCTGCCTACCTGACCAGCCCATCTATACCGTAGTCTAAGGCTTTCCCCTGTGTGCAGTTTACTACACTAATTTTTGTGCCATTTGTCAACATTATCAACAGACCTCAAGTCTGCGTGTAGACCATTTAATGTACAAAACAAACAGCAAAAGTCCCAGCATGGAACCTTGCAATATGCCTCTGGTCACAATAACAACCTTTGATCATCACCCTCTGCTGCATGCCATATTTTTTAATCCAGTTTTTCGAATTACCCTGCACTTCTGACCACCTTGACCAGTCTCTTATGTGAGACATTGTCAAAAACTTCACTGAAATCCAAGTAGACAAATCAACTTCACTGCCCTCAACAATATATCTGGTCATTTCAATGAACTCGGTCAAACCTTTCAGACCTGATCTCCCCTGACGAAGCCACGCTGACTGTACTTGATTAATCCTTGCCTCTCTAGTGGACATGAATTGCACAGGGCCTGCAGCAGTTCAAGAAGGCAGCTCACCAGCACCTCCTTAAGGGCAAGTAGGGACAAGCAATAAATGCTGGCCTAGCCAGTGACACCCATGTCCCACAAGTGAAATTAAAAAACGAAAAAAAAGTTGCCCAACTGTTGATGTTAGACTCAGTGGCCTGTGGTTTCCTAGTTCACCCCTGCCACATTAACTGTCTGTGTCAGGGCCCCTGCAGTCCCCTCCCTTGCCTCCCATGGAGGCCCAGGAATTATCCATTTTAAATCTTTTTTTTTTAAGAAATCTAATGCCAAATTGTAATTTGTTCATGTATATCACTCCTCCTCACTAATTTCTATACCAGTGATCACAGGTGCAAAGTACCCAATTAAAATCTCACCTACATCTTCTGGTTCCTTCATCTGCTGCAGACCCAGTCTTAACAGCTATGTCCTTTCGGATTTGACCATGAGTAGTTGTGCTTCTCAGCCACTTCATGGACACTGAAGTCCTCCACAGAGTAAATTCTGTATCCAAGTAGTGTTCAATGAACAGAATACTGATTCATCTGCTGAGGGAGGGCGGTACAAGTTAATTAGGAGGCTTCAAAGACCATTGTTCAACTAAATATCACTGTCCCAGCATCTTTGCTAGGTCTGTCTGGGGTAGTGGTGGGGTTCCTGAATTGTGCAATCGTGGAGCTGCAGACTCTGCCACAGGTTGTGTTGATGAGGCAGGTGGTGGCGTGCTCTGAATTCTGCACGCTGTTTCCACTGCATGTGCTTAGTCTCTGTGTTCTTCATTTGGTGATGCTTAAAGTAGTTGGCTCCTTCGTGGATGCTGCTTCTCCAGTTTGTGTGTTCTAGGGCAAGTTATTTCTGCTTGTCAGTCAGGATGTTGCATTTATTTTGGGGGGGCTTTCAGGATGTCCTTTTGTTTCCTGTACCTTCCTGGTGATTACTTACCATCGTGGAGCTCTGAGTAGAGCACTTGTTTAGGAAATCTTGTGTTGGGCATGTGGACAATGTGGGCCTGCTGGTTGTAGATGGTCATGCATGACCAGTGCTTCAATACTGTGGCTATTGAACTGGGAGCTGATGCTCAAATTGGTACACCTATCCTGCCAGTGGGTTTGCAGGATTTTGCGAAGGCAGCGCTGGAGTAATTCTCCAGGGATTTGAGGTGTCTGGTGTACATGATCCATGTTTCTGATGCAGGTCACAGGTTAGGGGATCATACTCCTCCGTAGACCATGAGCTTAGTGCTGGTTTAAGGTCTCGGACTTGGAACATTCTGTTCCTCGGGCATTCAAAAGGTGCACTGGTGCATTGGAGTCAATGTGGATTTTGTCTGCTCATACTGAGGGGTTACTCCCGTGGTATGGAACATGATCCTTATTGGCCAGGGGCACACCGTGGATTTTGATGGTCCTGGGGCTGTGTTGTATGGCAGGAGCGGGCTGATAGAGAACCTTTTGTTTCCTAGATGCTTAGGGGGTTTTGCTCAATTGGCTGTATAACTGGTTTGTGCTACAGAATGATGCCAACAGTGATGTTTGATACCCAAACCAGCTGAGGTCCTGCCTCTCTAACATACCCCTTGCCTGGGGTCTGATGACCATCTGGTTAAACTTTCCACCAGTCATCTCGTTCTAATCATAGGAGCCCTACGATCCTCTGGGACTATGGTGACTTCACTACAATCACTACCATCAAATATTATTACCTGAAAGTTTACTTTCAGACCACTCACTATCCTGACTTGAAATATATTACTGTTTCTCCACTGTTGATGGGCTAAAATCTGAAATTCTTAGGACTATTGTGGGTCTACATACACCAAATGAACTGCAGTAGTTCAAGAAGGTATTTAGGAATAGGCAGTGAATGCTGGCCCAGTTAGCAAAGCCCACTTAGACTGAATAATGAAAGAAGTGAATAAGGATGGGGTGGACAAGAGGTGATTTCTGTCCACTTGTTGCAATCTGCATTCCTGCCTAGACAGAGTTCGTTGCCTTTACTTTGCAAGTTGGCTGTAGCATTGGTGGGGAGAATCAAATTTAAAGAAGGCACATGGCATGTTTACCTTCATGGATTGGGGCATTGAGTATTAACATGTTGGCAAGTCATGTAGCAATTGTATAAAACTTCAGGCCACATTGGAGTATTGTATAAAGTTCTGGCTATTCACAGTATAGGAAGGATGTAGTGGCTTTGGGAGAAGTTGTAAGAGGTTTACCTGGATGTTGCCAGATTGATGTGTATTAGCTATAAAGAAAAGTTGGACAAACTTGGATTGTTTTCTCTAGAACTTCAAAGGCTGAGGGGCACCCTGAGAGAAGCATATAAAATTGAGAGGCATGGATAGTCAGGAATCTTTTTCTCCCCGAAGGTAGAAATTCAAATTCTAGGGAGCACAGGTTTAAAGTGAGAGGGGGAAAGTTTAAAGTAGATGTGCGAGGCATTTTTTGTTTTAAAACAGGGAGGTGGATACCAGTGGAGGTAGTAGAAGGAGGTAAGATCAAAGTTTGAGGCATTTAGACAGCCACGTGAACAAGTAGGAAATAAAGGGTTATGAACCACATGTAGGCAGATGCGTTAGTTTAGAATGGCGTCAAGGTTGGCACAGACGTAAACGGAAAGGCTTGTCCCTGTGCTATACTGTTTTATGTTCTAAAATGTAGATAATGGCATGCCACTATGTAATTGTGACTGTGAAGTACTATGTTGGATCATTCTCCAAGCTCACTTTAGTCTTTATCATATTTGGCTTGGTACTGCTTTTGATTTGATTTAGTATTGTCACAGGTATCAAGATGCAGCAAAAGGTATTGCTTTGCATGCAATTCAGACAAATCATTACCTTACATAAGTGCATCAGGATAATAGAATGCAGAATAGTGTGATACCTACAGAGGTGCAGAGGTCTGTTCATAAGTCTGGTAACAGTGGGGATGAATGACATGTGAGGCTATTCTTCACCCAGCTAATCCTTATTGGTTACACCCACAGATTCCACTGAGCATTTTTACAGCTATCTAACAACAGTTTTGGAAAAGTTAACTGTGTAACATTAAACTTTCTGGCTGCTTTTGAGGATATTTAAAGCAGCACGATCAAGTAGGGGAAGAGATGTTTCCATTTGTAGTGGACTCCAAAATGAGCGCTATGAATACCAGATTGTCATTCGTAAGTTTTATAAAGAATTCTGGAGAAATTACTTTACCTTGAAAGTAGTTTGAATGTGAAACTTGTGATTATAAGGTGAATAGCCTTTTTAAGGAGAGCCTGGAAAAGTGGATCATTGAGAGAGGAGTAGAAGGACATGATGTTAGGGTTGGATAATGAGTATGAAGATTCTTGTGTGGAGCATAAATTTTTGGCATGGACCAGTTGGGCCAAATGGCTGCTTTATTTGTAAGCTAGTGCTAATGTAGCTAGTGACTACAAGCTTTCATTTATTACCGTCAGTTCTTAGTTTCCATATTTAATGCAGCGGCAACTGCTGTTAATGGGTTAACATATTTAAAATATTTCAGTCGTCCTTTCCCTGATTGTGATATCTTTAATCATCTGCACTTATCGATAAAGAATTTTCTGCTGATTTCATTTGACCTGATCTGTGCCTTCGTCTGTAACTCATTTCTATTAACTGTCCTCAGATTATTAGGAGCATAGAGTATAAGAGCAAGAAGATGCTGAACTTGAATGAGACACTTGTTGGACCTCAGCGACAGTACTGTGTACAATTATGGATGCCTTAGTATGAGAAGTGATTTACAAGAATGGAATCCTGATCCAGGAATAGAATCTTCAGTTATGAGAATTGATTTGAAGAAGTTGGGGACTGTTCTCGGAGGGAAGAAGACAGAGGAGATTTGGTAGACATTTTCAAAAGTTGTGGTCAAGTTGGATGAAGTAGATGGGGAGAAGCTCTTCCTGCTAAAAAAGAACAAGAATGACAAGGCATAGATTTTAGTGATTTGCAAAAGGGACGGAAAAAAACTTGTTACAGTATGGAATGCACTTCTTGGAAATGAGGTGGAGGCAAGTTCAATTGAGGCATTCAAGAGAGCATTGGATAATTAGTTGGATAGAAGCAGTGTGCAAGTGAAAAAGGAGACCAGCACTGGGTAATGTATGTTTGAAGAGTTGGTGCTGGCATGATGTGCCGAATAGCTTTTTTCTGTGCCGTAACAGTTGAGAGTTATGCAAATAAATTGTCTTGTGATAGTTAAAGCTCATGAACTACTTTAAGTGAGGCAAACACCAGATCTTCACCTTTTCTAAAACATGCTTGTTGTGAGTCTTTAAGTCGGGAACCGCAGCCTAATTACTTTAGTACTGCCTCCAATTATAAAGCTAAGAAACACTCATTTCTAATGAAACTTGTAAGTCTACCAAATTCTCCAGAGCTGTTTACAACCAAAGCATTAATTTTGAAACGTGAATGTGTCAAACAGTTGATATTCTGCAATGACTGACGAAAAACTAAAATATAACCAGATAATTGCAACAGTGATGATGGTCAAGAATGTTGGCTAATAGACTGGAATACTGTCTGTTCTTCTTTGAATTGTACTTTGATCTGTTATACCAATCCAAAGAAATTAAAGGTTTCCTGGTTTTAACCTTTTATCCAAGAGTGGGCATCCGTGACAATACAAGGCTTGCTCAATATTGCACTCAAGTATAAATCTGGATAAAGTTCATAGTGGTGTTAGTTATCACTGACTGATAAGATTTTGAATCAATTGGTGATATTATTATTTGAATTAAAAGGGTAAATGCAATTGCCATTTTGGGGCAGGAAGATTTTATTCTTGACAAACTATCTTTTTCCTATTCCAAACCTACCCTGTTAATTTTAAAATCTATTATAATTTAGTCTAACTGTAATATATTGTACCTGCATTACAATGCACTAATTGCTTCAACTTTGTTCTTTTAGACGGCAGACTGTGACGAGCACTCCTTGTTGGATTGAACTTCACCTGAATGGACCCTTGCAATGGCTTGACAAAGTTTTAACCCAAATGGGGTCCCCTTCTGTCCGTTGTTCAAGCATGTCCTAAATAACTATATACTCCTATTTCAGTATCAAGATGGGACTAAACATAAGATGGAGTCCAATCAACAGACTTAAACAGCTTTTCTGTTTTAGTACTTGTGTTATCCCAGAGACTTTGTTTGTTAATACAAAACAAAATCAAAAAGAATGGCACTTGATCTCATCAATTTAAGCACCTTGTTGAGTTTTATTACCCTACACCCAGATTATGACAAATGTATTAGTATCAGTGTATTAAACACGTGAATATAGCTTATGGCTGAGGGTGAAGGGAAAGCTGTGTAAAATGACATTGTTAATGCACGTTGAGTGCCTGAGGTCCATCAATGACATGTACAGTAATTCAATTGTGATTCTACACACATTTAGTTAGGGATTCTTCATTAAATGAAACCTGTATCCTTGTCTCATCCCCCACCAGCCGCCTTCCTGCCTTCAAGTAATTAAAATCTGATGGGTAATTTAATATAATTCATACATGTTGCAGATAACAGTTAATAATGAATTTAAAATGAGAAATCGAAAAGTTGATGGTAGTGGGAAGCATAGCATGAATTTAGTTTCCACATTGGATTAAAACTGCCATAAATTCTCCGTTTAAAAACAAAATATCACTGGCAGGCAAATGAGTTTTATTCCCAAAGATTGAGGCGGTGGTGTTACTGCTGGAGAAATACTGAGTTGTGACAGCCAAAGTTAGGTAAATTTGGATTTGCCACTAAAAGAGATGAATGTAGCTGAAGCTGGCATTTCACTATACAGACACTTTCAGGGATGGTCTGCAGAGGGAAATGGACAGAACTGTAGTCCGATCTGGCATGTTATTCACTTTAGTTTAGGTGAAGTGTCAAATTAGCATAAATTTCTGCTAAATGTAGCTCATAAGAATCTAAGTGAACTTCATGAAAAAATGAGTACTTTATAAATTTTACAGTATTTTATTGAATTGTTAAATAGTTGGACCTTGGATTAAACAGCTTAGTGCAGTTTATTTAACTTTTGGTACCTGTTCAGCCTAATTCTGATCATGTTGTTTCAAAATGGTGTATAAATGAGAAACTTGTAAGCTATTTTAGCCTATACTTCATTTAAATTTATTTTAGAATGTATATGGTACTGATAAATTCTGTTCGCACTAATCCTGGTATTAAGCAGAGATTGTAGCTGTTCTTATGCATACTGTTACAGTAACTTTAACTTTTACTGAAGTCCCTGCTTGCGATTTCCTTTGTCGCTATTTGGGGAAATTCTTGGGACAAAGGTTCACATCTGTCGGGGCTTCTAACACTGTCCAGAGTGGCACTGACAGTCTTAATGGTAAACTAGAAGACACTTCACACCTAACAGTTTGCCATATTGTACTTGCCTTTGCCTGTTAATTGTGTAAATCTTAATATTGCCCTAAATTTGTGTTCCCTCTCCCAGTGCTGAAAATTTGTGAAACTGGGATAGTAACAGGTCCAGTAGAAGGATTGTTTCAGCAAGTTGTTGAGCAATTTCTGAAGTTAATAGTATTGTTGATTAGGGCTTTGTTTGAAAGGGCCCTTTTCATAGTAGTACGTTATTGAAAATGTTTGGGTTTATTATTGACAGATGCCAATTGATGCTCTTCATTTGAGTTGCTACCTCTGGATGAGATCTGTGCCATTTCCATTTTAGTTGAACTCTGATTTAGGATCATTTCTGTAAAGATGGGGTGGAAGGGGAGGAGAAACAATTTTATATGAATCATATTTTAAGCCAGTTTTAAGTATTGGCTGAAAGAGTACAATTGAGGGAATTGCAGCTTCAGTGTTTTTAGTCAATTTTGCATTTAGTCATTTTGCCAGTGCAGTATCATGTTTAAAATATAATGGTTGCATCTTGTAAATATCTACTACTGATTTAAATTGTCTTTTTTAATCTTTAATCTTAAATTGAACTTCTCCTATTTGCAGAATGTCCAATTAGGCTAAATATTCCCTATAAGGAAGGTAGAAATTGATCACAAACACTTTAACTTTCTTCTACTCCCTCCCCCAAGCTGTAAAAAGCTCTGAAATGTAGCGTAAAATTATAAATGAAGTGTCTTAATCATTTTAGAATTGCAGTTTTCATTTAAGCATTGCTTCTTTGAAGCAGTGATTTGACTTCACTTTTGAATTATGTTTAAGAAATATCCACAAAAAGACACAATCCACTTGCAATTTTAGTATAATGACTGGATGATAGCTGTACATGTTCTTCATGATCCTCAAACACTCCAAATTCATGTACCCAAAAATCTTAGGGAATACATTTTAATGTGTTCTGTTTGTTTGGCAGGGTGGCTACAGGTGGGATCTTTTTGAGGGGCTCTGTAACTTGTAAAATAGAACACAGATGTACAACTTGCTAATAATTCTGTGATCTAGCTGTCTGTCATATTATCATTTTTGTGGCAGCTACAGGATTGCTTTTTAAATTTCTTTGTTTATTCCTTTTACATTACACTAGTGCTGTACTTTGTAAGTGCAACTAGTGATAGCTTATTTTTTGAGAACTGAGATGGCAAGTGTTAATGCTTCCAAAAGGTGTGCGGCTGTGGCTGTTTGTAGGCCATCAGAGACAGTTCTGCTTGCCATAGAGTTTTGGGAATGAAAGAAAGTAGTACCAAATAATAGAAAATGGGCCAGACCTTTTAAAGGAAAACTAGCAGAGCCTTCATCATTCTACTTGTGAGCTTGTTTTACTAGTAGAATTCTGTATTGGTAGAACTGGTGAATTTGAAAGGAAAATATCTTCAGGCTTGTTGCATATGCAGACTAAGTGAATACACTAATAAAGTTTTAATTCTGATGTTCTTTGTTTTTTATTTCGTGTGAATGTGGGGCAGTATTGTGAGCTATGATTTAATGATGATTGGAGTGTGCCCTGAATTCTGTCTGAACACTTCACAAAATGTCATGATGCCTATTTCATCCATCCCCAGAAATGATTAGACTTGCATTTTTTTTGATAATACTGCTTCTGCTTTTGAGGTATTTGTTGCTCTTTCCTTAAGTGCAAGATACTGTTGCTAAAGGATGGGGGATACCTTTGCAGTGGAAGTGGCCTTAAATTGGGAGGAAATGTGGCACTGAAAAGAAGCAGCATCTAATTAAGGTGGATTTGAGGTTAATATAACTTGTGGAAATTTTGATAAATCGTTCCCTGATTTTAAACCTTCAATAATTTCAGTAATTTGAGAGGTTAGGACAGTGAATAGTTATACTAATGGAATTTTTATATTTTAAACTGCATGCTTTCATTCAGAAGACCAAATGCCTGCCTTTGGTTTTTAATTTCAGGTCAGTGGTTGGCTGATTGTTCCCTTAGCCTTTTGTAGTTCACATCTAAAAAGGGCAAAAACTAGCTAACCACTCAGATACTAACCACTTTGCCTAAGAGATCATTATGCCATTTGTTCAGGATCAGTCAAAGTAGTTTTATCAGCAAGACGACATTGGTTTTCTCTGAACAAAGCTTAGAAGGCATGAAGGAAAGAGACCTACATGTAACTAAATAAGTAACGCTACACTTCTTAAAATTGTGGGTGTATATATATGGATTAGAAGAATTAGAATATGGGCATGTTTGGCTATTACTGGCCTATGAAGGTCTTGTCACATGATTGCTTAGAACATGGGATTCAGAGTGAGCTAATGGATACATATTTGGCTGAACGGCAGGAGACAATGGTGGAGAGTTGCTTTTCAGACAGGAGGCCTGTGATCAGCGGTATTCCTCGGGGATCGGTTCTGGGTCCTCTTTTGCTTGTCACTTACATAAATGATTTGGATGAGAATATAGGTGGCATGGTTAGTAAGTTTGCAGATGACCCCAAAATTGGTGGCATTGTAGATATTGAAGTTTTTATAAGATTACAAAGGGATCTTGATCAAATGGGTCAATGGGCTAAAAAATGGCAAGAGTTCAATCTGGATAAATGTGAGGATTGCATTTTGGTACAACAAAAGGGTGGTAGGGCTTATACAATTAATGGTAGGGCCTTAGGTGGCATTGTAGAAAGAGGAACCTAGGGGTGCAGGTACGTAATTCATTAAAGTTTCCATAACACACGGTATGGTTAAAAGGAGTTTGGCATGCTTGCCTTCATTGCTCAGTCCTTTGAGTATAGGAATTGGGATGTTACGTAGAGGTTGTAAAGGACATTGGTGCGGCTTCTTCTGGAGTTCTGGTTGCCCAGTTACAGGAAGGAAATTATCAAGCTGGAGAGGGCTCAGAAGAGATTTACTGGGAAGATTTGAGTTGTAAAGAGAGGCTGGATAAGCAGGGATCTTTTTGTTTTACTGGAATGTCAGGTTGAGAGGTGACCAGATAGAACACGAGGCAAATTTTTTTTTAGAGTGGTTTGCATATGGAATGAACTTTCTAATGAAGTGATGGATGTGGGTACAGTTACAATATTTAAAAGACATTTGGATGGATATATGAACAGGAAAGATTTGGAGGGGAATGAGCCAGGAGCAGGCAGGTGGGACTAGTTTGGTTTGGAGTTATGTTCGGCATGGACTGGTTGGACCAAAGGGTCTCTTCGTGCTGTATGACTCTGACTGTATGGCTGTGTGTTAACGTTGGAGGAGACAGTGGCGTATTTGCTGATTTTTATAATGAAATCGCTTTGGAAAGCAATATCCAGCAAAGTGTTTTGTGAGTTAAGGGTGGAGGTATATTTCTGTAATTAAGAAAACAGACCCAGAAAACCTGAATGGATCTATAATGTCATTGTCTAGCAACAGTTTCTGAACGGAGGTAGTTGCTGTTTCTTCACCACATGCCTAGAAGCTGTGGTTGGCTGTTGAAGTTTGCAAGAACAAGCAGCGCTGTTTCTCTCAACATACATCAGACATTGTAACTGAAACTTTCAAACTGTTTCATCGAGGGAGGTTTAGAAACAACCTGAAAGTTTAAAGTTTTGGCAAAGATCTGTAGCTCGGGTTATGGCTGAGGTTGTTGACTTGCTCACCGAGCTGGCTTGTTCTCATTCAAACGTTTCGTCACAATGCTGGGTGACATCATCAGTGGAGCCTCTGATGAAGTGATGTTGTTCTGCTCCGCTTGGAATTTACACTGTCTGGTCCGTATGGTGAGTAGTGTCATTTCAGGTTCTGATCTGTATGGGTTTGT